AATCTTTATCCAATAAAATATGAGATATTTATAATCCAATAATATTAAATGTTATAACGAAAGGTCATTATACAACACTATATAAATTTCAATAAATTGCACAAAATTCTGTATAATAAAAACACCAAAAAAATTATATCATTTTGTAGCTTAGGTTTCTGTAATTATACTTTTCTATGATGTCTAGAAAAATAATGAATAAAAAAATAAATAATTTTTTAAAGATATTCAGACAAAAAAATACAATTGAACAAATAAACATTTAAGTTGTTTTGATGTTTTTTGTAAACAAACATCAATAAATTTTTGAACAATCCCTTTTACTTCATTCTGAAATTTTTAATGTTGAAATTTTTCAAAGTCAATGCAATAAAATAATTGGTCTTTATATATCAAACTCAAAAATATCAAAAATTCTCAATTTTCATAGAACCACAAAACAATTTGTATTACAAGTAGAATGGGGTAAAATTACAAATGATGTCCTAATGAAATTTATAGAAGGATTTATTGAAAGTACGTAATTGATATTAACAAATATTGACTTTATTATCGATTGCCTAAAATTTCAGGTAATTATTATTTATGCATTATTTAAAATATTCAGAAATAAATATTTCAATTTTTGTGATGATCTTTGGAAAAATTTTTGGACATCATTTTTATAGATTTAATAAAAGAGTAGAATTTCCATGTACTGTATAATCATGAAAACCTAAGCTACAAAATAATATAATTTTTTGTGTTTTGATTCTGTAGAGTTTTGTGCAATTTATTGCGTTATGTGTGCAATATATTTGATCATTTAGTATATATTCAAAATCAACTATTGCCAATACATATTTAAATAGAAACCAATATTTCCTCAAATGCAACTTTGAAAAAATTTTTTAAATTATACAATATAGTCAATACATGATGTAACGTGTTCAGTTATTAGCAAATATTTAGTTTATTTAATCAATTCAGTTTATCAAGGTGGATTTACTATAACCATTTCTGGAACCAAGTCGCAAATTCTGTTTATCCCGGACTTATTAATGCTTCGCTATATCAAGGTTTTACTATAATGCAGGTTTGAAAATAAATTAGAAGATGAGGGTAATATACGAAAAAGTTTAAAAGTCGTTTATCAACTTATCCACTTTCTAAAAGAGCACGCAAGAATTTTGGCAGTAAATTGGGAACAACATTGTACAGACTTGGTGCTGCATCAAAAGAAATCCATAGACAAGTCAAAGGACAAAAGTCTGTTAAATTTTTAGTTCAAATGGCTGCGAAGCTTATTGAGAGAATCAACTAATATATTTTAATATTTGTTTAAGCTTGGGTATTTCGTGCTGGCCATAAATTAGGCTAGCTTTATTCACGTTTAAAGTTGAATATATGAATATACAAAAATCTAATTCGAATTTAATTTGAGATGAATTGAATATCATGTATTCAATTCAAATTTATATAATGATAGCTTAATTTGAACTTGTATAAATCAATTTGAATTAATAATAAATATAATAGTATTAGAAGATTGCCATGATATACACACACACAAAAAAATCATAGCAAAAATTGAAATTATTGAAAATTAATAACTATTTTTATTTTGCACTAAAAAAAATAAAGATAATAATTTATATTTTACCATATGGGATGAGTCAATAGAAATCAAACAAATTATATATATTACATATATATTTTAATTTGAAAAGATTCCTGTTTGTAAAAATATTGTAAAAATAGTTATAAAAATATTTTTACAATGACTTTGCAAGCAAAATAATTTTCAAATAAAATATAAAAAATCCAAAAATATATATATAATTTGCTTGATTTTAATTTGATTTAAGCTTGAATATTTCGTATTGGCTATAAATTAGGTTTTCATATTTAAAGTTAAATATATTAATATACAAAAATCTAATTTGAGATAAATTGAATATTATATATTCAATTTAAATTTATATAATAATAACTTAATTTAAACTTATATAAAGCAATTTAAATTAATAATAAATATAATAGTATTAAAATACTATTGTAATATACACACACCAAAAAAAGCATAATGAAATTGAAATTAATAAATTAAATTAGTTAATCAGATATTATATAATTTATTAAAATTATTTCTAGAACAAATTATTTTGTTTAAATTATTAATTATTTTGTTTTACTCTAAAATAAAAATAATAATTTATACTTTAACAAATAGAAATAAATTAATCGAAATCAAGCAAATTATATATGTATTATATATATTTTATTTTGTTTCAATTAATTTATTTTTCTTGAATTTTTTATATTCTATTTAAAAAGATTTCTATTTGTAAAAATATTGCAAGCAAAAATATTTTCAAATAAAATATAAAAAATTCAAAAATATAATTTGCTTAATTTTAATTTAATTCTAATAATACTTGCCAAAGTATAGCTGTATGCTGAAATTTTACGTCTATATTAGATTTGTTACTAATATTTGTAATAAATTAAAACAAAATTAAGCTTTTTTGAATAATAATTATATAAATTATAAATAATTTAATTCAATTTTATTCACAATAATTTATTATAATTTTAGTTTTGTCAATGTGACTGTATTTAAATACTAATCAAGATTTTATTTGTGTTTTTACAAGATTTTTACTTGTCTTTATATTAAATATATATTATTATTTTTATTTTAATATAAAAACAAAAAATATTTATTAATAAAATAAAATCTTAATAATTTCAATTTTTATTATATTTTCATCTGAATTTCCAGTATAGAATATATATTATTAAATAATATTTAATTAAAATAATTTTTAGATAATATTATTATTTTCTTATTTGTATTACTAAATTATATAATTCAATTCAATTTGTGATATCAAATATTTACTTATGAAAGTATAATTCAAAATTCAAAATTAATTTGAAATTGTTTTATAATTGAATATAATATAATATGTAATAAAATGTGGAATTTAAATTCACATCACATCTTATTTACATGTATATAACTTGTATATGAATAATCCACAGATATTTGTTGTCAATATTTGACTTTCTCCAAAATAGAATTATATATTAATATTTCTGTGCTGCAGTTCTTTATATTAATGAACTTTATAAAGAAAAACCATATATACATCAAGAATGAAGATAAAGACAAACAGGAAAAATAAACACTGTAATTTATTGGTTATAGATTAATTGATAAAATAATATTGATAAGGATTGAATTTTCCTATAATAAGAACAAATAACAAGTTGATAAAGTTATAATCTATATTTTATATAATACATTCAACTACGATTACTTTATTCATCCACATTTATTAGAATTAAACTTAATTGGTGTTTATGCCATACTTTTCCATTATTCATGCGATAAACACATAAAGGGTATATTTTTTGCCTCCTTTTTAAGGAAATCCTATGAAAATTACCATATTGACTTAAAATGCTTGTTAAAATGCTAACTTTCAATTGGAAAAAAATTTACATGTGATATTCAATTCTGTTTAATGTTCGGGGAAGGTTACTTTAAGTGGGTGGGAGGACGTTAAACAATCAATCAATTTCAAACAGCCTAAAGTGATTTTTGTAACTCAACAAGACATTATAATCTATATACCAATAAATCAGTAATATAAGCAAGTTAAAGAGCGCTCTGACAAACAATGTACAGTAATAGTAATGATAATGACGTAAATAAAAAAAGATATTAGTTATGAGAATAATGATAAAAAAAATCATAATGATAAAGATAATGATGATAATGATGATAATGATGATAATGATGATAATGATAGCTTTACTTACCACATCCAAATAAGCTCTGGGTTATTCTTGGTATATCAAATAATTTAACAGCAATGTTGTCAACTAGTACGTATACACTGGTACAACACTTGCTAATATAGTTAACATTGTTAGTTTAAATACTGTTGCTAGTCACAAACGTCATGGTGTCTATACAACCACAAACGCAAGAACAATCCATCACTATACTCTGGCAATTTGTTTCCATGATGATATTGTCACATCGAATTTTAGCAAACTCAACATTTGATGAATGTTATGTGTGAGAACAGAAATCCTCGCAAGTGTATCATTGGTCGAAAAGTATTATTTTTACCTGGTTGATATCAAGGTTAAATAATAGTGGAAAATGTAACATTATTATTTTTACCTTGATAAATAAATTTTTCGACCATTGATAGCTTCTGTTGCTGGTTAGTTATTGCCAATAATATTACAGTATAAATATACAACTTACCAACATTAATCAAACTTTACAGGACCAGATTGCTATTTTGTAGTTTAAAATTCGTTATATTATATTTTCGCTACAAAAATCAAAGTTAGAATTAAGAGGTATAACTGTGCAATAGACACAATAAAAAGTTTTCCACTAAAGAAAATCCATGCACATTGTATAATTCTTATTGAAGCTTAACATGTCATATTGACGGTCGTCAGATCGATCATTTTGATAAATGTGATACAAGGGAGAACGGAGTATCCAGATTAAATGTGGTCGGAATCCAGTTGTTTCTAAATGAGGAAATGATAGATGTGGTACAGGGGAGATCGGAATAACCAGATTAGGAAAATTAGGAAATTTGAAAATTGGTTCATGAAAAAATACGAGAAAATCTAGCTTAATCCACTAATTAAAAAAAATGTCGGATTACATATAATGATTAGTGAGTTTGGCTGATAATCAAAAAATCGGCCAAAGTCGATTTTCAACCTAGTCTGTTGATTTGAAAAAATCGGCTCAGTTGATTTTTAGTACAACATACTAAAAAAGGAAGCTAATATATGTAGATAGTATTAATAAAGAACGCGCGCGGTTATTAAATTATAATTTTCGTTATTATTATTGTACTAAAAATCAACTGACTAAGTCGAAAAATTGACTGGTTGATTTTTAGCGCGTTAGATATTACTAAATATAGAATGTTACATCAGAAATCGACTAATCGACTTTGGCTGATAATTTTGGTTACATTTTTCGAACAGTCGATTTTTTTGTTATCAAACAAGAACACTAAGATAACCTGATATCTCCATAATCCTTTCTTTTAATTATCCGTCGGATGAACAGATCGCCAGGGTCCGTTTGCTTGAATTGAACGTACATGTACATGTATTCTTTATCAACAGGTTAATAGGTTTCACGCAAATTTATATTAAATCAAGTACACTTATTTTGACGTTTAATCCGAATTAACGGCATCGACGATAATGTCATTTTCTTCGTTTAAGGGAAATCGATGGATAGAATCCGCGATAAAAGAAAATCAAATAAACTTTTTCGAATTCGATGAATTTTACGATATGGAGGTCATTGGAACGGGAGCATTTGGTGAAGTCTATAGAGCAAATGTCAAAAACGATGATTTGACTGTAGCTTTAAAGAGTCTTTTTCTAAGTGACAAGAAGCACGCAGAAGAAATAAAGATAAATAAAAAATTTATCAAAGAGGTATTTATCATATTTAGAAGAATAAACTACTAACTAAAGACTTATAAATTCCACGCTGTTGTTTAAAATATTTCTTAGTTGAAAATTCTGATTAAACTTAATCACAACAAAAATATTATTCGCTTTTATGGAATCACTAAAGGTAAATTAGATGTGTGGTTGTATCTTCATAATTGAATAATTTTCTCAAATAAGTTTTAACTTAGATTTACACACGAAAAAATACATGATGGTTATGAAGTATGCCGATGGTGGAACTCTTAAAGATTATTTAAACGCACATTTTTCTAATTTGACTGGCAGCGACAAGTTGAATTTAGCTAAGCAACTCGTGCGAGGATTAAGATGCATACATAATGCAAACATAATTCATCGTGACTTGGTAAGGCATAGCACATAATGCATTACCTTTATTGAATAAAAACCTAATTACCAATTTTTTTTGGATGCCAGAATCATAATAATGTCCTCGTCCACAAGGGAAAAATTCAAATTGCGGATTTAGGATATTCGAAACTTTCGAACGACAATTCAAATTCAAAGACAAATTGCGGAATATTAATATATATAGATCCCGCATTTTTAAGAGATATGGAAAACTTTATACGCAACAAAAAATCAGATATTTACAGTCTCGGTGTTTTGCTTTGGGTTATCTCTAGTGGTAATATTCCAAATTGGCATATAGGCATCTTAAATGAGAAAGAAAAACCAATTCAGGGAACTCCTGCTAAATACGTCGAGTTATATCAAGCATGTTGGGACAATTTACCAGAAAATCGACCCGATATTTATAAAATAAATCAACAACTTGATGAACTCGAGTGGATCTCCGAACCAAGTGCGACTGTCTCTGATGTAGGAACATCACATAGCGTGAATAAAAACCTGCCAGCATTTAACGGAAACAGATGGATAGAAACCGCAATAAAAGAAAATAAAATCAAATTTTTCGATTTTAGTGAATTCTCCGATAAAAAAATCATTGGAAATGGAGCATTTGGTGAAGTTTATAGAGCAGAAGAGAAAAAGCAAGGTCGGATTGTAGCTCTGAAGAGTTTTTATCTAAGTAACGAGAAATACACGGAGGAAATTAATAAGAAATTTATTAAAGAGGTATTTATATTTAGAGAAATAAACTAATACTAATAACTAAGGACTTTATTCACCACTGTTTGAATATCTCTTAGTTAAAAATTCTTATTGAACTTAACCATAACGATAACAAAAATATAATTCGTTTTTACGGAATCACAGAAGGTAAATATATGTGCTTGTATCTTGATAATTGAATTGTTTTCACAAATGATTTTAAATTAGATTTATCTACGCAAAAATACATGATGGTTATGGAATATGCCGATGGCGGAACTCTTCAAGAATATTTATATGAAAATTTTTCCAAATTAACTGGTAACGACAAATTGAGTTTAGCCAAACAACTCGCGCAAGGATTAAAAAGCATACACAATGCAAATATAATTCATCGTGAATTGGTAAGACATTAACAAACTAATTTATTATAAATATCTAACCTGACCTGTACTAATAAGAAATTTTTTGGATGCTAGAGTCATAATGATATCCTCATCCACGAGGGAAAAATTAAAATTGAGGGTTTAGGCTATTCAAAATTTTCGAACAACGCTTCAAATTCAAAGACAAATTGTGGAGTGTTAAGTTACATCGATCCCGCATTCTTGCTAGACATGGAAAACTTTCGACGTGACCAAAAATCAGATATTTTCAGCCTCGGTGTTTTGCTTTGGGTTATCTCAAGCGGTCGCATTCCAAATCCATACGCATTTGTTGCATTTGCCTCAGGTTCATCTAATAAGAAAGAAAAACCAATATATGGTACTCCTGATAAATACATTGAGTTATATCAAGCATGTTGGGACAATTTACCTGAAAATCGACCCGATATTTACGAAGTAAATCGGCAACTTGATAAAATTGAGTGGCCTTTGTTTCAAGATTTACAGATACCTAAATTCGATATCGATACCGATACGGATGAAGATTTGGACACCGAAATTATTGACGAATCAGTATCTCTATTAAATAATTTACTCAGCAAAGAGAAAGATTTAGATAAAATAGGTGCTGAACTACAATCATATTACGACTTATACAGTCCGCATTCTTTTGAAATTCAGAACTATTCAAACAATAATCCTCAATATAAGCTACTTTTAGGGTTCCTTTATCAAACTGGATTCATAATTGAAAAGAATGCTGCATTAGCATTGAAAATTTATATAGAGCTGTCAAGTGAGAACAACTCTTTAGCTCAATTCTTTCTAGGACATAGCTATCGAAATGGTATTGGAACACAAAAAGATGACAAAAAAGCATTCGAGTGGTATTCGAAATCAGCAGAGGGTGAATGTGCGAGGGGGCAATTTGCTCTCGGTTGTTGCTACGATGAAGGTATAGGAACAAAAAAAGACGATAAAAAAGCATTCGAATGGCATTTGAAATCAGCAGAGGGTGGAAATGCCAATGGACAAAATGCTCTTGGTCTTTGTTATCAATATGGCACCGGCGTAGAAAAAGATAAGAAAAAAGCATTCGAGTGGTATTTGAAATCAGCAAAGGGTGAAAATACTAGTGGACAAAATAGTCTTGGTTTCTGTTATCAAAATGGTATAGGGACACAAAAAGATGATGAAAAAGCTTTTAAATGGTATTTGAAATCAGCAAAAAGTGGAAACGCAATAGGACAATTTAACCTTGGTAGATGTTATGAAGATGGAATTGGTGTTTCTAAAAATTTCAGCAAAGCTATCAAATGGTATAAAGCTGCAGCTAAAAATGGTAGTAATAACGCAAAAAAAAGTATAGATGCGATTCCTAAATTTAAATTGTTTTTTTCCTTTCTTTTTCTGTTTCTTTAATATTTTTCAGTTAATTATATTACTTGTATTTAAATCATTTTATATTTTTTTTTATTTACTAGAATACGAATAATTTATTAATTAATTTTATTTCTGTATTATAAAAATTCGAATTTACGGGGGGGGGGGGTTTGATATTTGATAACTTTCCGATTTATTTATTGTACGTAAATGTACACTAGTTATTTGTAAGATTAATAACAATTTTTTTAAACATGAGAAGTAACTATATTCTGTTGAAATTATATATATCAAATGTCGAGATGCAATATTTCAACTTGAACTAGCGGTATTTAGGGGCTGAAATGTGACCGTAAAATTTTAATGGTACCATATAATCAATTAGAATATATATGCATTCATAGAATTTATTTCAGAAAATAATTCTATAAATTGACAGCTACTCAGAATATAGAGAAAATGTTAGCATTTGAACAGGATTTATACTATTATAAAGAGAGAATTAGAGTTAATACGGAAAGTAATGGCAGTTTAATTTTTCTGGATGACCTGCTAAGCCGCATTAAGCCACCGCAGAGACATTTTATGTCACCTACAGGTTCATGCTAAATTTTCTTCTGTCAATACATGCTAAGCATCCTTCCCTAGCACTTCCTAAACGCCATAAAATCCTGTAAAATTGGAAATTTTAGCTAAACATCATTGCAATTCAGCAAAAAATTTTTCAATAATTTATATTTATTCCTGTGAATGAATAACATCTAAAGTTATCAAATGTTTGTATTTTATAAACTGTATAAACTTTACCAAGAAGTAAATATAAAATTTAGTCCGTGGATATGTTCATAAAGGGCCTATTCTATCATATTCGCGGATTAAATTTTGTATTTACTTCTTAATAAAGAAGTTTATACATTTTATAAATACAAGTATTTGAGAATATAGTGCGGGTCACTTAGTCACCACACAAAAAATTAACTTTAAATCATATCAGAGCCCTCAAAATAATTAGAAAATACGTAAATCAATAGTTTATTGACTATTCTATAACATTACGTATTTGTTTGACTGGAAAAGTTCAGATTGTTAAGTTAATAGGTCTTAAGGATTTGGCCAATTGTGGTAACTAAGTGACCTGCACTATATCTTTATAAAAATACTTAAATTTCAAGCATTCACTTTTTAAAGTCTCTTCGAAAAATTTCCATGTAATTAATCTGGCTCTCAATCCTATAACTATTTGGACGTTTCTCAAGTGGAGCATAAAAAAGAGACTTAAGATAATATATCACATGTCACAAAAGGTTTTTGTTGTACTGAGAGTAGATTTTAAAGCGGTAGTTCCCTATATGTCAGATTACATTCAAACTGTATTAATGCAGAGGGGGCATACCAAATTCAATACTTTAGATATAAAGCATTCTGTAGATGAATTTTTATGTATAAAACTTTTTTCTTTTAAAAAACAGCCATTACATATCGTGGGGACTGCATATGTAGATAACTATACACAGACAAACCCCCCTAAATGCACCCCCTTGGACCATAGTAAAGCGTGCATTTAGTGAGTGTGTGCATTTAGGGAGGTTTGCCTGTACCTTTATTTTTTCGATCCAAATTTCGTCATGAAATGATGGATTTTGGATTCCAAGAGGAAGCAAAAATTCTGAGTGTATATGATACTTCTATTTACTGTTTATTCTTTATAATAAAGTTTGTTTTGAGAATTCAAAAACATAGTACGTATTAAAAATAAAAATTTTCGATTTTAATGAATTTCACGATAGAGATGCCATTGAAAGGAGAGCATTTGTGAAGTCGATAGAGCCAATGTAAAAAACGATAATTTGATTATAACTTTAAAGAGTATTCTTCTAAGTGACATGAAGCACACAGAAGAAATAAATAAAAAATTTATCAAAGAGGTACTGTATTTATCATATTTAGAAGAATAAACTAATAACTAAAGACTTATAAATTCACGCTATTATTAAAATGGTACTTAGTTGAAAATTCTTATTAAACGTAATCACAACAAAAATATTACTCGCTTTTATGAATGATTAAAGATAAATTATATGTAGGTGTATCTTCATAATTGAATAATTTTCTCAAATAAGTTTTAACTTAGATTTACATAATGGTTATGATGTGTGCCGATGGTGGAACTATAAAGTTTATTTATATACAAATGATTTCCAAGTTGACTGGTAACAACGAGTTGGGAAACTCGTGCGAGGATTATGATGTATACATAATTCAAACATAATTCATCGTGACTTGGCAAGCCATAGCACATAGTGAATTACCTTTATTAAACAGAAATCTATATTAATTGCAATATTTTTTGGATGCCAGAATCATAACAATATCCTCGCCCAGAAGGAAAAAATTTAAAATTGCAGATTTAGGATACGAAACTTTCGAACGACAATACAAATTCAAGACAAGTTTCGAAGTATTGATTACGTATTCTTAAAAGGTGGAAACATTATATGCAACAAAAACTCAGATATTTTATTTTAGTGGCCTTATTCCAAATTGGTATGCAGGATCTTAAGTGAGAAAGAAAAACTAATTCACGGAACTCCTAAGTTATATCAAACATGTTACCTGAAAATTGACCCGATATTTCTAAGTACAGTCAAACCTGGGTATAACGAAATCCTTGATATAATGATCTTTCGTTTTAAAATTACCTCTATACAGCGTAGTTTCCTAAGGAAACTCGATATATCGAAAAAAATTTCCAGTTCAGGAGGTTCGTTATATCGAGGTTTGACTGTAAATCAACAACTTAATAAACTTGAATGGTCATCATATAATATTTCAGAAGTAGGGGAACCAACTTTACCGCTCGGATTAAAATTATCAGAAAGCAATCCCAGATTTCTTTGTGGAATGGGAAAGTAACAATTTTACAATTAGGTTTCATTAAAATAATTTTTATAATTTTTAGATAATCATGGATTCCTGGCCTTCTTGGCCACAAATTTAAATGGTATGAAAATGGCAGGGCAAGAGATGGAAAAAGGAAAAAAGTTGGAGGTCAATCAGAGACATAACGATAAACCAACACCCTTTCAATACGAGCGGCCAAATTTCAAAAATCTGCAATGTCACGATAAACCAACAAATATTTAAAAAATCTGTCAGCCAATCAAATTTGTTGTGAAGTAACAATAAATCCGGGAATTTAAATTTCGATAAAAAGTAGATGTCGATTGCTGTTATTGGTTATACGTACTGAGTATTATATTAAAAGAAAGATTTGGGAATCATGAATTTCGGATATTGCTTACAAAGTTTCATCAAAACCTTTAGATCGTTTAATTGATATTACTCAATAGTTGTCGTGTGGAGTAATGTTGCTACCTGGCCTGGTAAGTATTACTTACAAAAGCTGAATGTTATGTCATTAATAATAACTTTATAATGGGAATATTTAATATCTTACTTTAATTTAATATCGATTGACGTGCATTTAATGTAGATTTGACATTAATATCTATATCATATTCAGTAGCGATTTTAACTTCATTTGGAACAAACAAACTGACACTAGTCAACCCTAAACATTCGTTATGAATTTTAATTAATATGAAATGTCAATATGATATACACACACCTACAATATATTACCGGAAATTTCAAACATGAATTTGTCACTTTGAAACCCGATACCTCGACATCCGGTGCTCCCATTCGAACAAAGATACCACCATTGGATTCGTCTCGACTAACGAATCTAATAGTGGTATTTTTGTTCGAATGGGAGCACCGGATGTCGAGGTATCGGGTTTCAAAGTGACAAATTCATGTTTGAAATTTCCGGAATATATTGTAGGTGTGTGTATATTTCGAAATAAAAAGTACTTGTATCATTTGGAATTGAAATTGATTTTGTGATAAATTCTGTGTATGTTTGAGTGGTTTGTTGTCGTAAGAAGGCTTTTTTGCAATTTTATTTCCTCTCAAGTTTAATAGAATAATATCCTAAAACATGCGAGAAAATTATTTAAAGAGCTGTAGTATTGGAAATGCAAATTATTCACCATAATATGCATATTTGATAGAATCGGTAAAATCAAAATGTTTTTTAGTTGTTCAGTTTTCTGGAAGAGGATCCAACATTTTTCAATAATATTCCGTTATAGATGTCTGATACCAGATCATTAACATGACTTCGTTCAACAAATGGTTATTCACCTGTGTCAATTTCATCCAAAACCTATAAATATCTGCAGCTTTAGTGTATGACTTTCCATTCAGTGCCTCGGAACTCATATGAGAAAGTTTTTTGATCAGATTATTCTATATCTGCTGGCTTGGTTAGTCCAAAATCAGCAATTTGAGCTCTAATATGCTATGCATTAATATATTTCCAGGATGAAAGTCACGATACACAAATTACTCATTGTGGATTTTATTCGCCCCTTGAGTATCGTTTAGCACTGTATATAGTATCCAATAATAATATCCCATGATTATTTAGACACTATATAAAATTCTTTATACAATATACCCTAAATATAATAACACCTATAGCATATATATTACTACCAAATATAATACCCGGTTTCATACAATTCAATTTATAAACTACAATTTTTGGATAAGATCCTGGATATTATATATAATGCTAAACGGTAATATCGATCAATTGAATGCTCTAATTTTGCTTCTCAATTCAATTCACCATCTTCTGCATAAGTTATTACTATCGAGCATTCATTTGAAGTTGGGTTTTTAGTTATTCCATAATAACTAATATAACTACCATCGTATATGTACTTTAGAGCAGTCTGGATCTAATTTGAAAAAGCAAATTACATCTCCAATAAGTACGTATTTGAATTTAAATTTTTAATATTTTATTGGTCATTCTTGACTATCAATCGATACATGCAATTCTTCTAGGAATTAAATTAATATAAATATACTTTCTTTTTTTGGCCACTTCACTCAGCACTTTTTCTGTTGTTAGATGTTTTGAAATGTAATAAAGTGCCAATTGCAACCACATTGACACCACCAACTACAGACATTCCTCTGTAACGATAATACGAACGTAATTATCGTATCATTATCGTCTTGATACTAGTCAAACTCAGCTAGGCCGACCTGGTCGACCTGGCTGGCCAAAGACGGCCTGGTCGCTTAGCTGTATTTTATTCTTTGGTAATCTTAAAAATAATTGCTAATTATGGATATAATCATCAATTATCGTTATACATGTACATATTACGTACATGTATTAACCGAACAAGATCAAACAACGGTGAATCTTATCATTATTACATGTATCATTAACGTTAAATAATAATAAGCAGTTCTTTTCTTCACATAAAAAATCCGTTATTATTATAGAGTAATTAATAAATTCTTATAAAAATAGTTTACTATTAAATTCAATCCCTTCGTTATAAAGAGATTTGACTGTATATACAAATGTCACGAAATAAAAAAAGAAACTCTAATTTAACGAAAGAAAAAACACGGTTTATAATATATGAACCAAATAATGCTACACGTTCAAGTACAAATCAATGCAATCACAATTAATATATTAAAATCCATGTTCTACATCCACTTCTCACTTTCATCTCCTTCATTATCTTTAAATTATTTTCGTATTCAGAAAGCAACTTTCTATTCATGTATTATCGACAATTAAACATATATAACCAACAAATCATAATGAAAGCTGTATATGGAATTATGTCGATAAAATAATTAATAATGGATATAGATATTGTCAAGTCTTAGTAGAAAAAAATGGCGAAAAAGCTACTTGTGGAAATCGTTTTAAATCTTCCTGCTAACAACTAATATTGGAAACCATTTGAATAAAGCTCATCGAATTTTCGCTGTTAATACTTCTGAATTAATAGAAAATACTACAATTAATTGATCAACAAACCTCGGAAGTCTATATCGATATATTAAACAATATCGACTCATTGTAGCAAGTTTATTAGAAAGATTTGCAACCACTGAATGTCGTCAATACTCCAACATTTATTAATTTATGTAAAATATTAGACAATCGATTTTCTATGCCATGTGTCAGCACGATAAAAAATTGAGTGAATACATATTCCGTATATTGGTGTAACTATTTATTGGCTAACATCTGATTTTGAACTTCGACAAGGACTTTTAACTATCGAAAAATTTCCTTATGGACATTCTGGTGATAGAATCGCGCAATTTCTTCGCCTATTATTTGAAAAATGGATATAACAAATAAAATAATTGCGGGAATTAGTGATAATGCAACGAATATGACAGCTGCACTACAACAATTTAATTATCAACATATTAATTGTTATGCTCATACGCTTCAACTTGCAATAAATGAAGGTCTTAAGGAATGTCATGAAATTATTAATAAGGCTAAAATATTTAATAATACACTTGTTTGTCGGGATAAATATCGGGAAACTCTTCGACATGTACAGCAATTAATAATTAATAATAAATAATATACAATCAAATTCAAAAATTCTCGAGCCAATTCGCGATGCTCCAACAAGATGGAACTCTACTTATGCTGTATTACAACGCCTTATTTCTCTTAAAAATACTATATTCTCTTTAATAGCAGTTCTCAAAAACGATTTAAATTACACGGTTAGAAATCATTTGGAAATTTTATTATTAATAATGAATGGTTAGCATTGCAGGACTTATTAAATTTATTAAAACTTTGTTCAAATTACGGATATTATCAGTGGAAGTCAATACCCAACGTTAAGCATAATGTACCAGTCTTAATCAAACTCAGTCTCATCTTGTTGATTTTAAATCTCATACCAATCAAATAATTAAAGTCAGAGATCGTATTAAACAACAAATAGTAATATGTTGGCAAGATATTTTGTTAACAGGTTCATTTGCTTCGTTTTAAAAATATGAAGTTTATAAACAATACAAAACAAATGGAAATTTTAACAAAAGTACCTCAGACAATACACCAGATACGACGTCTGTAATTAATAACCGAAATAATTTTTTTGATGATATTCACGAGGAGGTTTCTTATGTACAAAACGAAATGCAAATATATGCTACGATGTTACAAATTCCAACACATCCTCTCAACGATCCATTATATCTTACGGAAAATCCACTTATATTGTGGAAATTACATCATAAAGCATTGCCTATTCATGCCAAGCAAGCCCGTAAATATATTGCAGTTCCTGCTTCGTCAGTTCCTTATGAAAGATTATTCTCAGGTGTTGGTAATGTAATTACAAAAAAAGTAACCGATTGTGTGCATGATATCCTTTTTTTGAAACATAATTCAAAGCTTTTTAACGTATATCCCGATTTTGAAAATTAATAGAAAAACTGTAATGTGATAGATTTTAGAAAAACTATAATAGATACTATGGGTGGATTTTTAAAAAACAATATTAGATTGATTTTTTGGTTGGTGTAGTAAAGAAAAAAAGTACCGGATATAGCATATACCGATACGTACATACATGTATATCATAACAAATACATGTAAAGAGATCGTACATGTATTATGTAGTTTTTAATGTGACTGCTTGTATATATGGTGCATAACATCTATACTCATCAAAAATGCAGATCAGTTCGAAATTTTGAAATGACGATCTTCACGTGATATAAGTACATTCGTTAATTTTATTGGCTCATTAAATCCGACACCATATTACAATGTTTATTCTTTATCTAATTTATTTAACTCCTCAAAGATACTTTCCGGAATCCTCCTGTGAGATCGGTATTTTTTTATCGCATATTTCACCAATTTTCCATTAATACCTTTCCTATAAAGATCCATGTAGTGCCAACATTTTCTTGAGAACTTTCTAATAGTCGTTAAGGGTACTGAATCAAGACTTTCAGGAATCATTTTTTGTAATCCCTACCACGAATAATCACAATTTTCATGTGAATGTCGTTTGGCAGCTCCCCAATATCTCTCAATAAAATTTAACTCGCAGTGAAACTTCAGAAAAAAATGCATTTATGTCCTGCATTTTCAATTAACTCCTCAATAGCACCTTTTTGAGCAAGAAAATCATGCTCCAAGGATATTACTCGACGTGCACAACAAGAAGTTCTTGAAATATCTTGACTCTTTTCTTTGCATTTGTTGCATTCTAATACTAATTCTTCAGATGATCATTTTCCACATTCTATCAACACTTGCTTAATTCTCTTAGGCGTATCTCGAAGTTTCTCATTATGATGTGTTATTGGAAATATCATCGATTGTAGCTGGTTATTTTGTTCAAAATAAGTGTCACACATAATTGATTGCTTGTCACCTGGGTTTAAGTTCATTCGACTTGCGATCAAAGCATCTTTGCTAAACATAGCGTGGTTAGAGCTATTATCAAAAGCGAATACAGCCACGCAGTCTGGATATAATGTCTCAAAAATGGGAATTGCTTTATATTCAATTTGTTTGAGAAGATGCTCCGCTGTCCAATAACCTTCTTGATTTATGCCAGATTTTAAGTAACATCGTGCCTCTTCAAGTACATAGAGATTTTTTTCTTTATCAGCTTGCTGCAAGCATAGACATCCATCAATCTCAGTTAAAAATTCACTAACCATAATTGAACTCCCGTTTCCTTTTTTTCGTAGTGGCATCTCACTATCTTTAGTCCATACTCTGCGTTTGCCATCGTTTGAATAAAAAATGCATTTGTCATGAACTACAAGACTCTCTCTTTCTCTCCTTCTCTCCTTTAGGTAAGTCAGGGCGTATTCAGTCTATAAATTTGCCTTCATATTTGGACATGTATTTCTCATGCTCGAACATTTTTTTTAGAAATTCTTTTCAATATCGCAGAATGTCATCTCTCTCATGCCCATTATAATATATCCCACGGCAATATTATTGAAACGAATAGCCAAGAATCTTAAGCCACCTTATTGCAGTCATTAAAGTAATGGTTTTTTCTTTGGTGATTCCAATGCTAGAAAATAATTCGTTCTCAACAAATTTTTTAAATACTGCTGGTGTGGTATCAAAATTTTGTTCTCGAATCCAAGTATGACATCTTTCTGCAACATCTTCATCATTGATTACTCTAATTATTTTTTGGTATTTTCCATGTCGAGATGCTGGAAGTTTATTATTAAATAACCAGTATTTTGTAAAATTCTGAATTTTTCATGCTTTTTACACACCATCATCAATAAAAATTTTTTGGGTGACCTCTAAACTGATACCAATTTTTTCACAGCCATTATTAACATTTAACAAGGTAAGATATTCAAAGATGGCTCTTTTATTATTATATTCGAAGACGGTTAATTGAGCATGTTTTTCTAAATGCTCTTTTAACTCTTTATTTTTTCAGGTATTTGATAAGTGTACAGATTAATAATCTCGCTTTCTGAATCACTTGAAGCATCTTCTAATACGTCAGGCTTAAGTAATTATAAATCGGTAACTTGGATATTGCTAATCTTAAAAAAACTCGTAATTTTTTTGGTGCCAGCTGCTGCTTTAGTTAATGAGCCATTTGGATCATATTTATCATAATAGGTTGACTTTGATGTCTTGCCTATCATATATGGTCCTCGTTTCATTCTTTCTAATTGGCTATCATTTCTTCATACTAAGTCAAGTTCTTTTAATCTTCGATGGAGCTTAATTTCAGCTTCCATATCCTCCAGATCATCCCATCCACTATTATTACAACGATTCTGGATAGTGAGTTTTACTAAGAATTACTATAAGCATATGATGTTGGGAGAGAGGTAATTAAACTTAAATAAAGAGAATGAATTATAAATATTAGCAAAGATTTTTAAAACCTGTGCCAATATCTACAGATATTGTGTTTTTAAAGATCTAAATTACAAAAGTAATTTGAAAAAGAGGTAAAAATATAAAGAAAGAACAAAATAAATCAAAAGATTTATAACGATTAATAAGTGAAGCCACTATTAATCAAAGAAAAACTAAACTAAAGTGTAAA